CAGAAAAAACTAGCAACAAGTAAAGATAGCGGAATGACAGCCGCGACAAGCCCACAAGAGACATACACGAAAAACAGAGAGGAAATCATGCCAACCCTAGCCTGTAAAGGCCACCATACAGGATAATCATCCGCACCATGTGAACCAAAACATGAACATACAACACACCATAAATCCTAACAGGTACAGCAGGATGGAGACAGCACCATTTACCAAATCAGAATACAAGTAGCGAATACAAGATACACAGTTGCGACTGATACAACAGAAGCTGACCACTACCTAGTAAAAGCTCCTCTAGCTCTAATGGGTGAGCTTCACTGCTGAGAGAAAGGACCTCGTCAGCTTATCCTCAACCATCTGTCGACGTTATCCGTCAATGCACCGTGCGCGACACGAGGCTCGAAAGAATTGTACAAAATACCACATCTGAGCACTCCTCTAGGACCCGGTTTTACGAAGGGGAAACTTCACTAGCACTCGCTCGCCATGTTATATCCTGAAAAGGAAGTCCCACGAAGGTGGAGCATTTTATATGGAACCAATAGGCTTTTTGAGTGGCGAGTTGCCTATTCCGTAGTCTGAGTTTGCACTAGATGATTCTATTCAGACTTTGATTCTTCGTTGTCTAGGTCATCTAATGACTCATAGAGAGTCTTATACATGTAGACCGTTCACAACTAAAGACTGAAAAACCACTCAAGAGAAAACCAAATTCCTGCAAGTTGATAGTCCCAGTGGCGGGCCTGCGGGCATGGCTGAGGTAGTACTGTTTCAGTGTACATCACAAAGTTCTCAAGAAGTCCTAGCACGCTGGTTTTTAGGCCTCAGGTTTTCTGAATACAGGGCTGTGTGCAATTTCTCTGTGGACTGAGCTTGATACTTTCACAGCTATAATACAGAACCTAGACACTGATCTATACATCAAACAACATATTGACATCTAACCTTTAGACTCTGTATGGACCTTAATTATAGCGCCTGTTGCTTGACTGTTACACAGTGGACTTCAGCAGTTCCTATTACTTTTTGTTTCTTAAAAATTTCAAGTTCTGATAAGTGTTCTCGGACATGAGGATCAAATTGATCAGAACATCATTCTGAACTCATGGCATATGCTTGATATACTCTTATCCTATGTGTGTTATTAATCCTTTATCCTTCCATACCTCTTTGCAGGTCGGGTTTTGAAACCAGTGACTGGGCACGGTCTGCCATCCCGTCGCCAGCCACCCTGCCGGTTTCTGAAGTGTGCCGGTCAGGCGGGGTCGTGCGCCGAGGGCCGTATCTTGGCACCACAAGTATAGGCAGCTCTTCCTCTTCTCTGTCTCTGATCTTATCGACACTTCACCCTCTTTCAGTATCCGCAACAGGCCACTCGC